ATTGATTACCGATAGATATAATTAAGTGTCCCGGATCTCAGATTAATTACGTAGTCTCACGTGCGCAAGTTATTACTATAGCCGATTGTATTATTTATTTTATTACTTTAATTTTATACAGAGAACATATAAGTTAATTATTGGAAATTGTTCCGATATTGTGAAAGTTTCCCAATACAATAGTAACTCTAACAATTAAGATCGTAATATTGATGATGATCATCCGGTCTTGCCAAAAATTGTATATATACGTAGTTCCGGACTAGCCTTACATTGTAATGAAGTCAGTTTTGTAATAATTTTTAACAAAAATTTTAAAAATGTAAGTACGTAAGTACATACCTAATTTGTACGAATTCATATATAATTCATATGTGAAATTAACCTTAAAAAATCCGAATTAATAATTAATTTTGGTTAATTAGTAGAACGTTCCAGAATTGATAATCATATTTTAGTAAACACCCAATGAAACAAATAACGATAGTGATACATTTTCAGATTAAAAAAAAAAAGAGTATTTGTTTTTTTATTTGATATATATATAATTCTGGTTGATCTTACTTTTTCTTATTTCATACTTTAAACGATTCGAAAAAAGAAAATTTCGAAAATATAAGTCGAAGAATGTAAAAGACATAAATAACTGGTACAGTAATATGAATTTTTCACCGATAAATTTTGCGTAAATAAAAAAAAGAAACAACGATACGATAAAATTATTCAAATGCATAAAAAGACGGGCAGTCGAATAATAATAATTGAAATAAAATTAATCGGATAAAAAAAAAAATCTTAACAATTGATAGGTAAAAACGATCACACCGTTAACATCAAAAATGGAGTGAGAAGAAATAAAATTTTAAAAGAATGATCCAATATATCGTTAAACTATTTATTGTTCTTGTTTTATTATTTCCTGAAGCGAATCGGTATCGGAAGGTTCGTCCGAGTCATCCTTATGATCGTCGGGTGTAACGTTTGTTTGGTTTAGTAATTCATCATGTAATAATAAATCACCATCTTGTAATTCATCATTATTGGTTTTCTGATAACGAAAATCTTTACGAATTGTAATTTTAATTCCCTGAGTAGCGAAAGCTTTAGAAAGCGCAGTCGATTCTAATACAAGATAATTAAAATTAAGCATTTGCATAAAAATTTGTATAGCATAAAAATTATTTGCATAAAAATTATTTATCGGAAAAATTTTTTTTATTTTTTTTACAACTGGTTCAAAACCGGAAATGCAATAAGCATCCTTTGTCTTTGTAATTTTCATACCTGTCATACCCGGAAATTTCTTTGCAGAATATACCCTAAAAGGAGCACTATATACTTCAGCCAATACACTTCCACGAACCGTCGAGAATTCATCGTATACTCTATTAATAATAATTAATAACACCAAGTTAAGAGATAAGAGAGATATCATAAACTCTAAATACTCTAAATAATCAAGGTTATCAATGTCTTACGGAGATAGTAATCCCTTAATGTCACATAACGAAAATTTCAGTGTATAAATGCCTTCAGTTCTTACAGATAAGTCTTGAAAAATAAAATAAATTCCACGTTGACCAGCATGATCTCTAAGTGAATATGCCGGAGAAGTACAATGGCCTACAAGAGTTCGTATACTTATTGGTGGATTAAATGACATAATACTTGAGGTTGGACCAGTGGGTTGACCAGGTATAGCCGAAGGATTAATTACAAGACTACGTTCTTCCTTAC